TATTGTTCTTCTTGAATGATTTTTTTATCATTCAAGTCAAACGATTTCTTATTGTTCTTCTTGAATGATTTTTTATCGTTCAAGTTAAACGATTTCTTATCGTTCGACTTGAACGATTTTTTTATCATTCAAGTCGAATGATTCCTTATTGTTCTTCTTGAATGATTTTTTTATCGTTCAAATTGAACGATTCCTTATCGTTCTTCTTAAACAATTTTTTTATTGTTCAAGGCAAATGATTTTTTATCGTTCTTCTTAAATGATTTTTTTATTGTTCAAGTTAACTCGAGTCAACTCGAGTCAACTTAAATCAAGTCAAGTTTAAATCGAGTCGAGTTAAATATTTAACTTGACTTGAATTTGGCTTGACTCGCAAATCATCGAGTCAAAAAACACAAACTTGATTTGATTTGAACTCGACTCAGCTTATCTGACTCGTGAATTAACTCGACTCGTCTGAAACTCTACGTAAGACGATATTCTTTCTTAATCCATTAAGAAAAAGTTTCACAATATATTTATCTAGTAAGGCATTAGTAAAGTCGACTTTCTTTAACAATCTTTTAAATTTTCTTACGTAAAAATCTACTTTTTTATAAAGTCCTTGACAAAGTGTATTTAGCTAATAATGCCATAGATTTTGCTTTTCTTCAGTTGAAAATTTTTCTAAAAACAATGGAACAAAACTTGATGCAGCATTGCCATCTGAATTCCATCAAGTAATGTTATCAATATTTTCTTCAAACTAATATGTAGTTAAGCTATATAGGTATCCTAATACAATTTTCAGCCTACGAGTTTTAGACTAATTATTTGTTTCAGCAGCAATTTCAAAACTTCTAATCCAATCATTAGGGTCTTCGTCATCATTTTCATAGAAGGGTTTTACTAGAATAATTTTACATTCCTTTGGTGTTGTGTTTCCACCATTACCACTTGAATCAGATGGTATACTTTTAATATCTTTAGTAAGATCCTTGAAACTTTTTGTCATGTGATCCATGAGATTCTTTAACTGTTCAGTATTCATAGTCGTTTCAATTGATATAAGAGGTGAGATATAAGTATTAAAGGGTTTTTCAAAGCACTCAATAGTGTGGGTAACTAATAATAAATGTTGTAAAATAGAAGGTAAATCAGCAGGATATAGATAATAATTTAAATAATATAATAATGCGACTGCTGCTTTTGTTGTTTTATTATTATTATGAGTGTTTTCATGATAGCTATCTAGATAAAGTTTAAATGCTATTAAAGAACAATTACTGAATGCTGTAGTATTATATTCACTAGAGATCCAATTCCAAAAGTTTGTAAATTTCTTTATTACTGTTTAAGTAATAGAATTGTACTGTACATAAGATGCATCTTTTTCTAAAAGTAGATTATTTCTGTGTGCTTCTTTATGATATTCTTGGATTATTTTTAGAATGTCAAAACTATTAGGTATATTCACATAAGTAGAATAAAGATAATTATAATCCTAATAGAAATCACCAATTTGTTAATCCTACGCTCAGCCCGTTGAACTTAAGGTAACTATAACTTAATAACAGGGAGTAACATATGAGAAACTACTAAGTTATTGTGGAATACTTTTAGACGAGTAATAACTTTAACAATTTGTAAACATGATAAACACAATTGACAAGTTGAAGGATTTTTAATATATGTAGTTTAGAAAGAGATTCCTTTATTGTAGAGATTTGTATCTTTAGCAATCCTTAACCTTAGATTTTAAGTCTTAAACTCAAACTATTGAGTTTATACTGTTATCTCTGCCCTTTTACAAAGACAAGTTTCCATCCTATTTATAGAAAAATATAATTATAAGAATTTACTATGTAATGCTAAACTATTTTATAATACTAAGATAAATATAAAAGATAAATTATAATTTGACGATAATACTAATATAATAAATAATAATAATAAAATATAAGAATAAATTATAAATGTTAACTAAGTTAAAAATGCTAATGATGTTAATAACGTTAATCATTCGTCAATTTTTGTGACGCAGTAGGATTGACTTCATATGGTATCAATGCCAAATGGATATGTCTAATTAGAGTTGATCGGCATCTATCAGCATCTGAATTGTTGCAAATTGAGGCCAATTTTAGGCTTATTTATGATTGAATTTAAGTTCTGAATAACTATGTCTGATTGGGATCAATTGGTATTTATTGGCACCTGTTTGTGCTAATTAGAAAATATGGAAAATTGGCTATAAATAGTATTGAAATTGGCTTAAAATCAGCCATCTGATTTTAGCCGATTTGGAATATTTTGACTAGTAGCCGAAACCTACTTTACTAAAGCTAATTCACCAAAAGGACTCTTCAGTAAAGTGTTCATTCAGTAAAACTGATTTGGCAAAATGTCATTTGGCAAAGCGTCTTCTCAGTAAAATATTTATTCAGCGAAACTTCTTTTTGATAAAAAGTCCATTTAGCAAAATGAATATTTGACAATGTGACTGTTTGGCAAAATGTCTTTTTGGTAAATTGGCTTTAGCAAAGAGAGTTTTAGCAGAATAGGTTTTGGTGAAATATATTATAATCTTAAAATTTTATATATTGTAAAATTGTATTTTATTTACTTAATAATAATAATAAATACTAATATCAAATAAAATAGTATCTTATTAAAAAAATTAATAAATACATATTTTTATCTCATGGTTACTAATGGTCACCTGTGATTTTTTACATTGATATTTTAATACCAGTAAAAATATCAAAGTTTATTTTAATGCAGATCATTAACATTTAATTATATAGTATATTATTATTTGTAATACAAATATATTTTACAATTTTAAAGTTATATTATTAAAATGACAATTATTAAAAATAGGAAGATTTCTTTTGAATATTATTAGCAGAAGAAGATTCTGATATTTTAGTAAAAATTAAAGAAGAAATTTTTGGTTGAATATCAATATTTGCATTTTTATTTGTTAAATAAGTAAGAATTGATCTTGATTGTTTTATAGCATTAATTAAAGTATTCATATCAGCAAGATGTTATTTTTTATTACCTTCTTTATATATATAAATACCTTAAATACTTTTGTGACCTGTTACTTCTATTATAGCATCTTCTAGAACATTAGCATCCTAAAGAATTTGAGCAACAGTTTTATGACCAGAATGGTTTATTAAAAAACCAAATAGAAGTCTACTTTAAGACTTTCCAATATCTTTCATAAAATTCTTACTTTATTACTTTCATAATATATTTGTTTATACTAAATACCAGTTTTACACCAAAGTGAATTAATATGTAAATAGAAATTTTTAAAAGTACCACTAGGATGTTTAGACCAATTTTTTTAATATTATTAGCTGATTCTGAATTTGGAGAAAGATGAATATTCTGTGCAGCTCCTCCTTCAATTTCATACTGATTGTTTTTGCTACAATAATGGCAAAAAAGCAAACTACCATTAGATAGAATTGAAATTGATCTACATGAAGATTATAATGTTCACCACCACGAAATGCAAAGTTAGTTGCAATTCGAAAAAATACATGGTATAAAAGACCTTTAGGGGTGTTAGAATTAAGAAAGTCATCAGCAAGAATTTCTTGAACTTGCTGTGCAGTCAACGCCATTGATCCCTCTTTTTCATCAAATCTTTTTTCTTGAAAATCTTTTATTTTGCTATGTAAAACAGTAAATAAATCTGAAAACTCATATTTATTATATAAATTAATTCTGAGTATTGAAGAAACTTTTACCAAATGATGTTTAATAGCATCAACAGCTTGTTTTACTGAATTTGCTTTATATTCACCAGATGTTTTTTTAGTCATTTGTGCAATATATTCACAAACTTGTTGTTCAATCAATTTGGAATCTGTAATCTCTTCAAATGATGTAGTATAATTTCAACTTTTACGAAACTCTTCAAATTTAGCAACCCAATTTTGAGTTGATTCTTTTAGTATTAGGTACCATAGCTTTTTGACAATAAAAAGTAAGCTTTTCTTGAATTTTAGATATTTGTGTAGAGGAAGAAGGATTCAAAGTATCTTGAATAGAAGTTGTAATCTCTGGTATCTTTTGAGAATGATAGAAAGCACTTGCATTAGTGAAGACAGGGTTAAAAGTTTTGTGAAGTCTCTGTTCTTTATTGGCGCGTTTTTGAGACATTTTAATTTTTTGCTTTCAAAAGAGAAGTAAAAAATGAGAGAAAGAAAGTATGGGAATTTTATAGCAAAATAAATGTTTTATAATGAAATAAACTTTTCATAACTAAATAAAATAAACTATTAATAAACTAAAATTTTTATCACAGGCGTTATCCCCCAGGAGATAAAAAAGTTATTCCACGGGGATCACATGAATATCGTTGATCCCCGTGGAATAACTAATACTAATTTAATTAGTTAACATATATATAAGTATTTAAATTATTAGGCATTTTTTTCTATCTACTTCGGTTAAGATTAAATCATTTTGAATTGATTCATCTTCCTTTGATTTTATTTTTTTTTGAAATCTTGTCTTAACATTAGTGTTTTAAATGACTTTTTTAAACGTTGTATTAGTGGTATAGGACATTTTGTGGTTATGAAAAAAGAATATCAAGTGATTTACACGTGATCACGATAAATTTCTCAGAAACGGTTTTATAACCTAGGATGAAATTCTACGAGCAACCTTTTAAGAATATTCTTCTTTTTAGTGCCTTTATATTTTATCTAATACCACGAAAAATGCGATATTTGACTTTAATAAAGTTACGTAAAATTTTACCTAAAATTACGCTATTCCTAGGTCGATGATCATATAAAATCTCAAAATTGGATCGGCCCACAATAGCTGACGATCAATCAGTTAACAGATGAAGTGATACAAATCTATTACTTGACATTTTTTTTATTTAATTGCCTAATATACATATAAGACGATTTTATTAATAAAAAGATTTTTCTATTAATTAAATATTTCAATTTTTATTAGTTACTGTCATATTTTTCAGGGGAGTGTACATCCCCTAAAATAAATATGTGACACTTGCATCGCAAAACACGCGTTTTTTAGCTATTATACTTTAAACGCGACTCTTTCGAACGCGACTCTTTCGATCTTTATAAAATAACGAGAGTAAGGTCATTCCAGAATTTTTCATTAATTGCTCTACATAATTTTTTCACTTCTTTGCGTTTATATTAACAAATTAAATTATTATGTCTTCTCACACTGTTACTGCTATTGCTATCTTGGCCGAAAACTGGGATACTGATACTCTTATTTATTTTTTTGCGTGGCCAAAACTTAAACCTCGACGAGGATTTCCTCAAAATTCTTCGCAAAGAAAAAATTGATGGTCAAGTCTTCCCAGATATGACCGAAACAAAGTTTATGAATGATGGTATGAAACGAGGACCCGCTATGAAGCTTGATAAACAAGCTAAAATGTTTAAGGATCAAACGAAAGTTCTTCACTCGAAGGGTAATATCGAATATTTCTGGCTCTTTACATGTGAAATGTGGTCCATTCAGCATTTCACCTCCTGGTCCATTAATATGTTTGGAGCTTTTGAAAAAGACGAGGCCCATACGGTGTTTTATAACACTTTATATATTATTCGTGATGATTCAAGCACATCACAAGAAGTCCTTGAGGCTTATAGGAGCCTTCTATTCACTAAAAAGGTATGTTTTTATTATATAAGCACTTACATGCTTTTACGAATTTGATATGTTAAACACGAAGCTTTCGCTTGGGGATGTATAAGCCCCCGGTTATTGCAGTGTTTAACATACTCATTTTTCGATAAAGGTCTACTGATCCTGGAGGAGGGGTCGGTTATGTATCTTCCTTTATATAACAAAAAATATGCTAAATATTTCTCCGCGTTCTGCTAAATATACTTGCTAAGAAATATTATCTCGTTGACGGTTACTTTACTTAGGTTGAAAGAAAAAAGGTACGAAAACCTTTAGCTGATATTTCCAGTCAGCAAGATTCGTTAGCATCTGTACCAGTTGCTGGGAAAAAACGAAGTTTTGGTAACATCATGGATATCTCCCTAGATGTTCCATTACAGAAAATGGATCCATAGATATTATGGAAATTTTAAAGGTTGTAGTACGTGAATTCGACCAAGGAACGGTAGCACTGGGATCCTCCCGCTCGTACAAAAGTTCGAACCACATGTATGTAGACTCTAAGCATTTCATTAAAGTTCCTAGGGAGAGCACGTAAGACGCAGAGATGTACAGGCTCTTAGTAAATTGGCTAAGGAAGATTCACGGCTACGAAATTACTGGGCAGTGGCATCTTGAACAAGTTCGCAATTATGGCGATTATCATCACTTTTATTGCGACCTAACAATAAAGAAACCTGATAACCCCCATCCTGTTGCTCGTCTTGAACTCCTGGCGACAGCATCAATTTCAAAACTAAATGGGCATTTCGAACAAGTATTTAAGTACGCTGAGCGCCTTTGTCCTCAAGAAGTATGGGTCATACATTTTTCTTGTGAAGATTTTGTTGTAACTAACCCATACTGGCCGGGAAAAAGATTTCAGGATAAAGGGTTAAATGTTGCACATTTCTGGCACAACAGGGATTTTAGCAATGTAAAAATGAGTGCTAGGTTTCGGAATGTCACTGGCAAGTTTCATGAAATTTTAGATGAGCAAATTTTACCTTAATTTTTGTACTATAATAAAGTTTTGCCTTAAAAGGTTTTATTTAACTCATGTATCAATGATCATTTTTGCATGCAAATTTTTTTGCGCAAACTATAACTAAATGGTCCATTCTGACTATAGACACAGAAAGCTTTGTTAAGAGAGCATATGGAGACTTTTACACACTCTAAAGATCCTATTCCATTAGAATTAATTTTTGAGAAATCTGATTGAATTGATTCATATTTGTGCCATACCTTAGAGGTTTATGAAAATTCGTTAAACCGGAAACGCCTAAAAGCTCACCTGAATGTAATACATCCCGGTATTAGTTACATGGGTTACAGAGATAAAGAGACACAATCACATGATTCTTTCTTTTGCAATCATGGAAGAAATCAACCGTTGGGTTAAAAATGAGCTTGACATTTTATATCAACAATTACTCAAATGTAATATACATTTAATCGATTCATGTAAGATTAGACTATGGAGTATAAGAAGCGGGTTAGAACTAATCACCAACTGCGTCAAGAAATTTAGAATATGAAGGTGCAAGTTCGGGAAGCAGAAAAAAATTCTTAAATGAAGAAAAACAATTTCTGAGCATTTATTTTTTCGGAAATCTAGACTCTTGCAATTTTTTTGGCAAATTTTTGGCGGAAATCTATTTCAGAAACATTTGGAATACCAGAAATTCTTGGACTTAACAAATTTCTGGAATTATTTGATTTTCCAAATTCTTAGAAATATACTACTATTAGAACCTACTTGATCCTAGATTTAGATCAAAAAAAAAAGAAGTGCATTGTCAAACAATAAATGAAACACAATCGTTTTGGTTATTTTTTTGCATGACTGATTAAAAAAAAGACCTTGATTTCACATCCAGAAAAGATATAATATGTCATTATATTATACTCGTGCCAATGATTATTTTTCTTTATTATATTTTTTTTCATTGTCATTGAAGTGCATAACGTACACATGCGGTCTAACAAAGAGAAAACGAATATGTTGTAGTTAGTAAAAAAAAAAATAAGTGTTTGTGATAGTATAATAATAAACTTGAAACGTACATTTATATTAGGCATTTTTTGTTAAAAGACAATTATTATCACCACCTTCTCGTTTACATTGTTTCGTATTTCGGCACGATTACCAATATTTTATGTATATTATTTTTTCCAGAAAATAAAATATTTTGCAGACATTGAGTCAATACCATGTACTTTTATTAAATAGTAACATTAATTTGCACTCCCGAATGTATTTTATTACAAAATATATAATCCAAGGTTATTTGTTCTCATATCGCGCTAATTCCCGACAGACGGTATTATGATTTGCTGGAAACCTAATTAGCCTAAGAAAGTTTGAAGGATCTCCACAATATTTTGATAGTCAGGTTGCACGAATTCAATTTCTCATTCCTACATTACATTTATCATATGCTCATTATTTAATAATTTCCTGCTCGAGATGTTCTTTATAAGCAAATTTGCATTTTCTCTGTGTGAAGTGATTATATTTTTGCATAATAGTTTAAATAATAACTAATAAGTTATTATCCTAACTTAATCGTGAAATTTTCCCGAAAACAAAATAATTTATGTTACGTAAATTAAATCATCAAGAGCGCTGTTAAACTTAACAGTTAAATTATTTAATAACGGAAATTCTAAAAAAAAAAAAGCCATTATAAAAATTTGAAACGTTCACGGTCGCGTTTTATGATTAGCTCAAACATCCATGCAAAAAATCTAGTTCAGGTGATTTTCCTAACGTGAAAAGGATAAAAAAATTTTCTTGTGCGTAACGTAGTGATATGCATGTTTCGGAAATGTTTAGAATTTTGGAACTTCTGGTACGCTCTTTGGATTTAATATAATAATTCATAAATCGTATCGCGTACGAACATAATTTTTTTTGAGTTAATGTAAAAATTATAATAAAATTTTAAATATTTAAAACTTCTTTTGGTTATTCTGATGTCAAGTACGTACATAATCACCGAATCCTTTTTAAAATCCAAAGTTACCATAATTAACTAACCTAAAAAATATAAATAAATAGTTTATTTAAATTAATATTTTTAAAAAGAATCCGTATCACTTTAGTGTTTCATATTACAATAATTGGCGCTAATATAAATACTTTAATATATTCACTAGCTGCAGTAATTGAATTGGATGGATTTTAAGGTTTGGTAAAGAATGTCCTAATTATAGAAATTGGATTGGATTGACAAATAGCTTACTTTTGTTATCTTATAGTAAATTTGTCTCACAATTTTTTCTTATAAAATACACGGAATTTGATCTCTTTTTTTCATAGAATTCATTCACAATGTCGATTTTATTCAATGAATTTAAAAAGTACTCTGGACAACTTGAATCAAGCAGGTAATTAATTGTGTTGCCTCCAAAAAAGTTGGAGAGCATGAATATAATTTTATCAGTAGATTAAAGACTTTGAAATTCCACACTGTTTAGCCACGGCTATGGAGGCTTCTGAAATCAACTCTTCTAACGAAAATAATAAACATGACAACTCTCGGCTCACTAAAAGCAAAAAAGTCAAATGGTCGTCTGATTCCGAATTATTATTGCTTGCATTTTTGGACCTACGTATAGAAGACGTAAATCAATTAAAAAAGCGAGGGTTTACGGCAAATAAAGTCAAACGAAAATTGTGGAACGATGCGTCTATGATGTTAAATTACGAATTTTCTGCAAAACAATGTGCGATTAAGTGGAAGAATATTAAGCTATACTCAAAAAAAAATTCTTAAATTTTATTTTCATAATTTATCTTCACAAGATGTCAAGCGTATTGTACTGCGCAACTTTCAGAAATTGTCGTGATTCGTTCCAGATTATTATAAATATATTCTGTAATTTCGTTCAATCTGTAATATAATACAATAAGAATTTAAGGTTTGATCTTAATAAATTTGTTTGATTTTATAGATTTAAAATGTTAAATCAAAAGACGTTCATCAGTGATGCTACAAAACGGGCCGGTAATTTAGGTCTGATCGGAAAAATTTTGCCCAGATTATACCATTTTATGTCACCTGATAATTTTTTTTAATGTAAGATCGTCCCATTGGTTAAAAATTATTCAACTTTTAAGGTATAAACATGAATGGTGTATATATATATTTTTATATAAAATATTATTAAATTTCAATCAATTTAATTTCTTTTAATATAAGTGTAAAATATTGAACCATTTATGTGGCGCGAGAATCTAGATTCAATAATGTAGTTGAAAATCACTTGGCTAAAAATTTGAAACGACTTATTTTTGTCAATATTCTAGAAAATTTCGTTCGGTTCATTTGAAATCGATGGAGTCGACTCTGTTAAAGTTGATTCAACGGTTTGTTAACAAACTTGTGTAAAATTCTATAATTTACAAACTAACCTTCAAGTTCATTTGAAATTTTTGATAGGAAATTTCTATGTATTTTGCAACAGATATGAACTCAATTCATGTAATAATGATTATATAGTGATAACTTTTATTGCAATTATTGAAATAGTAATTCTCAGAAGGAACCGCAAACCTGTCTCGTCATCAACTTGGTATTATTGAATAATTTAATGATATCATTAGGGTGAATCCAAATATCGAGTTGATAATTTAATAATTAAATTCGAATATATTACAAACATTTACGTTGTTACATCAATTTGAATTAATGATTCTAAAAAAAAAAGAAAAATGCCAAATAATGAATGCAATTTGTATCAAGAAAGTTTATGTTAGAAAATACAGAGCAGACTAGCCGTCGATTATCGTATATTTGTAAAAAATTAAATCTTCAACCGATATAATAGTTTTTATTTCAATAAAAACCGTCACTTTATTAAAGGACAAATACATTTTTGGGTTAAAGTAAAATACTATTTCTTGTATTTAACTTATTATTTCTATGAGTGACGATTCCAACATGTTGGAATCGTCACGCAGAGAAGAATTGGAATCAGTGTCGGTTTATGGTAAGCTAATCTGCTTAAAAAGTTTTCTAAACTCAAAATTTCATTTTGATTTTTAATGTTGATCGCTGAATTGCGCAATATTAATTAGCTTTCAAATTTTTGTAGGATACGTAATACGAAATTATGTTACTAGCATCTGTAGTTAACGAATTATAAAGTTTTTAAAGCTAACATTGCGGTGGTACAATACTTTCGGAAATCATTTATGTTGCAATGTTTACTTTTAGAGTTCTGCATAAGAACCCTATCCCGGGCCGGAATCTAAGCCAAGTATTAAAAAAACCAGCCCGGTCAAGCTCGGACTTAATAATATGACAAATTCGAACTAGTTCCGTAAAATTAATTTATGCTATTAAGGCGAACCGAAATTTAATATTTTTTTTTTTTTTTTTTTTTTTATCAAAACTAGTTTATATATACTTCGAACTCGGACCCGGCCCGTTGCAGGCCTCTACTTTCTTTATTTTATTTTATTTGATAATATAATTTAACAATCTTTGAATCAAAAAAATTACTAATTATGTTCACTAGTTCTATATTAAATTTTATCATAAAATTCTGTTCGCTTTAATGAAGCGAATCGTACCGCGGTAAAATCTGCATATTCTACTGGTTCTATAAGTCCAGAACAATTTTCGTACTGACCAAACGATTCGTATCGTACCGATTTACCCTGGAATTATGTATTGGTAAATGATGTTTATGCTAACAGCATAATGTTTATATACATGGCATGATTCCACTTGTTGCTAAAATGCAAGGAAGCTTTGAAGACTAACTGATGAAAGAAATTCAAGTTTTGAGCGATTCAAAGAAGAATGAAGTATGGTGTAAGAAATGATGATACCTATCAAAAATTTTGGCAAAATAAGTTATAATCGAATATAACCAACCTGGAAAATGTCACAACGTTCTAAATAGTTTTACTGCGTACCAAAGTTATTAATATAGTAATATATTTGACCTATTATAATTGACGCTATTGTTTTTTTACTACCAGGATCATTTTGTTGAAGTTTATGATTTCGCTTGTACTTTTGTATCGATTACGGGAAAGTTTTGTCGAAGTATTTGATTTGGTCCATTTATATAAGTTGTACAAAATTGCCACAGAAATACCATGAGTTTGAAATCTCGCGTAGTGGTTAATTATTTGCTTGTAAAACCTTCATGGGTTATAATTTCTAATTTTTCATTTTGATTTTCACAAATTTATCTAGTGGATTCAAAATTACTTGTTTCGTTAAAATAATAGTATTTCGGATAATATTAATAAATAATTTTATAATACCGAATAAAATTATTTTTGACTTTATAATTTTTTTTTTTTTTTTTTTTTTTAAAAAAAAAAAATCGAATAATTATATATTTAAGAGGGGTTTAACCAAAATTCGGCGTCGTATTTCCTTTAAGCCGTTTAAAGGAAATAATATATATTCAAATTTTCTTAAACTTTGGAAGGAAAGTCGAGAGGGTATTTATATTTTTTTTTTTTTTTTTTTTTTTTTTTTTTGAAACCCAAAATTAATTACTACGGCGATAAATAGTCGTACATAACGATATGATATGCACGCCGGAATTCCGGAGTATTTATTCTTTTAGGAATTCTTAAGTAAGTTTTTTCCATAGAGAATCAATAATTATCTCACTTTCAGCTTTATTCATTTTATTGCCGCACTGTAGCTGCCGAACAAATTTTTTTAAGAAAAAACTTACTTTCATTATCGGCCGATTGATATTCGGATACTGCCTATCTGTTTGACTCATTATATTCTATTTTTAATTTTTCTATTTTTATCTCCATTTGTAATATATGTAATGTTACATCATTTCTTTGATCACAACGTTGATCATGTTTCACAAAATCGTTGTACTATGAATAATTCTTTCGGAATTCTAGAGCGGGAAATAAGTTTACTATCTTTTATTAATTATTTATTTTAAATTTCGAATAAAATTTATTAAATTTTATTATAAGCGATATCAATTAAAAATATATAAATTTTCATTAACTCAACATTAATGATTAATAATTTTATTAAATAATTTATATTATATTTTTTGCTATATTAAAAATTTAAATAAATCTTTTATTTTAAAAAAAGAATAATAATAATTTAGATAATAAAATATGAATTTTAAATTTAAATGAATATATTATATTTGATCATTCATAATATCTGATCATTTTAAATATAATATTACACGCTTCGTTGATGTTTTTGTTTATGAACTGAAATAAAATAAATTTCGAAAATAAAAAATAAATCAGAGTTGACGCCAAATATATATTTTAGTCTTTATCAAATAGAGCCAAACTTGTATTATCCAAGACCTTTTTGAGAACGCTTAATTGAACAAGGAACACCAAACAATTATCGAGGTAAACTTTTAAAATTATTTATCTCAAAATTGTTCTGATTATTAAATCTAATAAAATGATTTGAATCTGTACTTGTTTTGATTTAAATATTAGTTCATTATTAGAACTTTACGATCGTTATATTATTATCATTTTTAATCTGAAAATAAATGACTGCATAAACTTAATATATTAGGATATCGCTGCTGTAAAATGAAGGAGCCCATTTTAAAGAATCTTCGAAAAAAATTTTAAATTCAGGGAATAATTAAATTTTTCTTTTTCTGTTTTTTGGGGGGGGGAAATATAAAAAAAAAAAAAGAAAAGAAAATAGTGATCGTACATTGAATTTTATTATATATATATATTTTTTTTTGTAAGATAATGCGTAAATATGTAGACAATAAGCGTACACAATCATAAAATCTAAAATAAAAAATTTTATGCTTTGGGTCAAATAAAAATTTTGTTATAAGTCAGCTTTTTTTTAACTTTACAACTTATCTTCTTTGATTTTCATTTTATTATCTTTCCTTACCTTCATTTTTTTAACTTTAACTTTTTTTTTATTACCTTTCTCCTCTTATATTCTGATTAACATGAATAACGTTAAGTTTCTTGAGGATGCAATATCGAAATTAGAGGAACTCGTCCCTCAGGGAGGAAATCATGATATGATTTAATAATAGGTTTTCTTCTACATATAGAGGATGCAAGTTGCCTTAATTATTTTAAAGGAAGTGATAAAGAAATATGAGTTCAAGATGATTATATGTATACCGAAACTATTATAGGTTAGTTCAACTGCATACAAAAAAAAAAATATCATTTTTTTATTCATTTTTGTTGATGATAGCAATTATACGTTTTGTCGTAGAGATATTTGCAACAGCCAAAGTTTAATTATCTGAACCGGATATTATACCGTAACTTCACGGGTAATCGGCGATTACCCGTGCAGTTACAATAAATAACATGTTACTGCATTAACGGATTGATGAAGTTTGGCGATGGAACGACACAATTTTTATTCATAATTGATTATTTTACAAAATTATACAAATAATGTTACATAAAACATAAAATAAGAATATCCATTAAATGGTAAATATTTAGAAAGATTTTGACTATACTTTTGATAAAATTATCGTTATATGATTTGTTTCTATTAAATCACGTTACAGGTCATATGATTAAGTTTGTAATTTGATTACCTCCAATATGATTATAATCGTGTAATGTGCTAAAGCAACAATTACAAAGTTTCTTTGGAACAAGTAAAGTATATGAAAAAATTGCTGGTAATCATAATTTGCATTAGTATTATTTTTTTGCTTAATCAATTTAGAGAGCTTTGTCCGATGGTAAAATACCAAGTTTTGACAGTTTTTGCACGCATAGATTATACAAACCAAATACGCG